CAACACACAACACACACACACACACACACACACACACACACACACACAGACAAACGCTACTGAAAACATAACCTTCTTGGCGAAGGTAAAAACATGGTCTAATGGCAGGGTCATTAACTAGATGTACAAACTAGATGGCAGAACACAGTTTTCACCCTATGGGGATTTCTATAGTTACATGTAAGCACCCTGAGGTGACTCACTTCGACGCGGTAAAAATTATAGGAGGGTGCACTAGAGAATCAAGCCCAACTAATATGTTGAAATATACAGTATATTTTACAAAATAGCTGAAAACCAAAAAAAGTTATAGTTTTTTAACATAATGACGACCACTTTGATTTGGCCATCTACCGGGGTCAACGGAACTGCAGCCGGCTCACCCCAGAACGCGGTTGCGTAATGCCACACATTCATACACGAACAGGGAAATCTTCACAATCCAACTCATACGGTATACAAGCCGATACATTTCCTTACCACACAGCGCAGTTTTCTCGTTGCGACCACGCACATAAGTCGCTCTAGCCAGGATTCAAGAGGTTTGTCAGCACTACTTTCTATACCCGCGTCATAGACCCCGGGGGTTGCCCATTAATACTGTGTTCTGCTTCCTTGGCTACACAGTCACGCTACTCACGTACATGTACATTGTACCACCCCCAGGATACACCATGTGGGTATATTGGGGATGTGACACTTGGGGATGAGACACCCGTAAACCTTGACATCAGTTTGGTATCAAGGCTGATGATGAAAGTTTATGATGCAAGTTACGACCTCACGGATGGTAAAGTTGAATAAATAAACCATGGATTGCTAAATCCCTGGAAAATTGGTGTCTTAAAAAAATGTGGAAAGTTGTTTTCCAGATTTCAAGGTCACCGTGTCAGGAGACCTGCATTTAAACATGTAAAATTTGTAACTGTTTACAGTCAAATTTGTGTAAGACGAGCATCCGGGGACCGAGGAATATAAAAAGAATGGTGAGAAGACAAGGCAGCAGATTTCGAAGGTCATGTTATCTTTAAATGTGTAAACGTATTTTCATCATTTTTGGTGTCTAGGTAGCTGAGAGAGATTTGTGCATAATTATATACGAATTATGCATGTTAGGACTTAATTTGCATAATTAATGAGAAAATTATATAATTACAGTGTTTTACATAATAATACTGTAAGTTATACATGTAATCTATTTAATCTGTGGCAGGCGGAACATCAACAGATACCAATTATGCAAATGATGACCTAATTTGCATGATTAATGTGAAAATTCTGTGACTCCTTATTGGTAATTGATTTGGCAATTTTATACCTTGTGACATGTGTCAGTGTTACTGTAAATGCATTAATGTTCGCGAGGACTAAATTTCACGCAGCGGAGCAAATAGAGAGTTCGCGAGGGATTTTAGTTCGCTATACAGCAGAACCAAATACAAAAGGGAATGCCGACTTCCTCCCCCCCCCTTTCATGGGTTTACCCGGCCCCGGAAATCCCCATATTTGATAATAATAATAAAGTCCCAATATTTTTCTTTTGTCACACAAAATCGCCGGCTATGGAATCTTTTAACAAAACGCTACTTAGTACAGAGTAACAGTGATTTGGTTGCAGTTAAAAATTCATACCGAACTGATGGCTCGTGCTGAGAATTACACGGGATCTGTATTGTACCGAAGGACCAGGCATCGAACGGTTAGATTTTTACTCGGATATTCAAAGATGAACTCGTAAAATACATTTTTAAAAGCAGGAAAATCTTGTTTCCCGGCATTTATTTCTTGAAATACGGGGCTGACTTGACACAAAAATTAGTTTCATGCCCCGCTCCTGGCTTTCTCAGCTAGCTGCATAAATTTTGACGGTATGCAAATCTCGCGTCACGTGTCCGCATTTCGCGTCTCTGATTGGTTGTACGTCAGTCGGAGCAGCTCGCCGCGGTAACATACTAGCGGGCCGACGCGATGTAAACAAATTTTCTTTGTTTTAATATAAGCGCTAAAACGCTTTTTCCACAACTACACATCGATCTTTTAGTGAAGGAATGCATAGTTCCAAGAATCTTTCGGGAAAATGTATATTTCTATGGGGATTTTTGGTGTTTTCGGCGTGATTTTGCAAACCGGAAGTATACGGACCTCGGCGTGCCTCGGCGTGGGTTCGTCGTACCCTCGCTAAATTTTTAGCTTTTTTACCCTCCGTTTTACCAACCAAAACAAAATACAACTCCCGCTAAGGAGAACCCAGTAACATTTCAGATCCCAGCAATTATGTTTTTGATCAAAATATTTGTGGATGTGCCTGCAATTTAGCCGTATTCTTGTCGCAAGCGGCCCCGCGACGTGCACGCTAAGATTTCTTGTACGCAGTTGACATGGCCTGACACTGGATTCGGTGTCTCATAAAATAATTTTTATCAGTATAAATAATTCTGATACTCAACAATAGCACAGAAATATTCTATTTCTTGAAGAACTGGACAGGTCTACTTTTATTTGTGTCTATTTCTGCTGAGACAATACGGATAGTTATACTTGGCTCTATGGGTAGTAGTATAACGTTACATGGACACCTGGAAGATGGGAGTGTAGCGATACGGTAAACAGTTCGCGAGGGACATGACTTCACGAAGCAAGCTCTTCGCGAAAACCGCGAAGTTAAATCCCTGACGAACAAAAATGCATTTACAGTACTTAAAGGTTAACACCACTAGGCATATATTATGTTAATGTAGAGGTCATTTGCATAATTAATGAGGACATGTTGGAATGAAGCATGACAAAGGAGACGAATACACGAAAAATGTTGTCATTTGAATTTAGAAAACCATAAATTAAACTAGATTATGCTAATTACGACCTTATGTCCATAGTCTATGACATATAAAAAAATTTCATGGAGGTATGAGATCTCCGAATTCTTGTTAAGAAGGAAATGTTTGTGTTTATAAAAACCCTTTAGGGTTTCGGTTCAACCACTGTCTGAATTAACATGGCCAATCAGAACAGGGTGTAATCAGGGCAAGTTTTAATCAACTGTCTCTGATGAATAAAGAGGCTTAAAGATGAAGACAAGGTCACCTTGAAGAATATGCATGGTGAAATCTGGGTCAATGGTGACTGGAGAATATCAAGTAGGGCAGGGCAGGTGCTATATACAGTATGTATAATGGATGTTACTTGTACATGTACATCCTGACCCTACAATGTACATTGACTATAATTTTTGACTTGTCAAAGTGAGTCACCTAGGTGTCCTTAACTACATTGTATAAAAATCCCTATAGCCCCAGGACTGCAGCAAAATTGCTCGGAACAGTAACTGTATCACAAAAGTTCTGATTTTGTCTGCCAGTGGGTAAGTCCATTGTAATAATTACCTCCATGAAAAATGGAGGTATTGTTTTTGGCGTGTCTGTATGTATGTATGTGTGTGTGTCTGTGTGTCTGTGTTTCCGCAACTTTGTGGTCAGCATAACTTCAGAACGCCTTTATGGATTATGATGATATTTGGTATGTTGGTTAGTCTTAGGAAGACAAACGTCAAGGTCAAATATGGGCCTCCTGGTGGATGACCTTGGTACTGCAGCAGAACTTCCGGTTTTTGTATCTTTTGTCCTGAACATGCTATGGTCTTGATGTTTTGGTGACAGATTGCTTTTCCTGTCAGGAATAAGTGGTGTGAGTTTGGTCCCCCTAGCAGCTTGTTTTGGAACTGCAGGGCACTTTCTGGCGAAATGTTTAAAAGCCAATAAGTCCAGATAGGAACAACATATTTTCATAATTTTTGGTGTGTATGTAGCTAAGAGAGAGATGTACATGATTAAATGCAAATTATGCAAATGAGGACTTTATTTGCATAATTAATGAGGAAATTCTATGATTACAGTGTTTTACATTATACTACTTTCATACATGTAATGTATGTAACCTATGGCAGGCAGAACATCAACAGATACTAATTATGCAAATGATGACCTAATTTGCATAATTTATGCAAAAATTTTATGATTTCTTAATGGTGAATAATGGGAATGTCATACTTTGGACATCTGTAAGTTCATCAAAAGTTAACATACATCACGATGCACATATCATGTTAATGTGGAAGTAATTTGCATAATTAAAGAGGAAATTTACATTTACATATCAAGCCCATATTTCATGGAGGTATGAGGTCTCGGAATTCTTGTTATGATGGTTATCATCATGGTAGTTAAGACATACCACTACAATGTATGTCATGTACATTTGTATTACCACATTGTTGGCTAAGCCTTGTATATCGAAAATTAATGAATTATTTTTCTTCTTCTATTTTTTACAGGTATCATACACATGTATGTGTTGGGGTGATGGCTTGGTTGGAAACAACTGCAGTTACAGTCGTTTAAAACAAGGTCAGTAGTACTGTTGTTCCAACTGTGAACTTGCAGTGCAAGGTGGTCTTGTGGTTACGGTTATTAACTCAGAACCAGAAGGTTCTGGGTTTGAATCCATGGCAGGCCCCACTGCTGTGTCCTTGAGAAAGGCATGATTTTGTAAACCTATTTCCTCACTCAACTTGGGTGAATTAAAGCCTCAGTCGACTGGTGATATACTGTAAAGCCTGAGCTCAGCCTGAGGTCCTGTGTTTGAGGAGATACATACGTTGAGCATACATGTATATTGTTAAAGACTCCATTGCACTTACCAAAAGTAGTAGGGGTCCTTCCTAGTGTGAGTGGTTCAAATCTTACAGTCCGGTCTTACACAGTGTACTTAATGTACAAAACTACATTGTAGTGACTGTTATGCCTAAAGGCGGCTTTATGGTTATGTGAAACAAACAAACACAAAATCAAAGATCGAGAGCTTCTTTCCCCTCCTAGCAATGATGTTTTAAGTACTGTACATGTATATAAATATTGATACATGTACATATTAATTAACTAATTTGATTTAATACTGTAGACTACAGTAAATTTCAGAGCAATAAACATCATGGGCCACTTTCATACCACTCAATGAAGAATAGTAATAAAGAAGAGGTATTACAGAAGATTATGCTTCTTGAAAGCCCAAGCACTCTTGCACACACACACACACAAATGCTCCCATAAACATAACCTTCTAACAAAGGTTACACTGTAAAATAAATGTAATTATATCCATTACAGAATGACAAAGTGCTCCTGATTTTAATCTAGCTCTTGTGGTGAACACTGGATTAGACTTTAATTGGAGCACAATGTGCCTCATATGAACTTGACTTTGCAGGCAGTCATATTACGCTGATATATGACACCCCATGTGGTAATAATGATTGGATTCTTTCCTACGAAAATGGAAATTCTGAAACAGCGATGGTGACAAAAGACCTGCTCAGTATTGATGGATTAAGTAGAAAATTGTCCAGATGTGGAGATAGAAACATTGCCCTGAATGTTGATTGTACCTCAATCAATTTATCAAGTTAAAATTATAGTAGACATGAGAAACTTGGATTCAGTTTTGGAAGAGGTGTTCATGATACACACACAAAAGAGGGTCTTCCGTGAGGGATTGCATTAGCCATTTTGTAATTTACCATTAGTCATACTTTAATTCAATGATATTTCAACATTGTTCTATGTCCTAATTATGTTATTTCTTATGCTGTATTCATCATTAAGTGTTATTAAAACTTCTTTGTATCGCTTAGTTGGACACCAAATTAACCCCAAATCATAACATTTTTAAGGGGAGGGGGCACTGATTTGTGTCTTTTCTAATTTTCACCATTTTCTGATTGGCCAAGTTTTCTCATGGCACATGCTTCTCTGACTAGTCGACTGCCTTCATTGGAATGCCTACAATGTATTTTTTTTATTGAATAAAGCAATACAAATACAAGGATGAAGTGGGGCTGAACTCAAGTTATACAACTTATTTTACAGCCACACTTAACATTTAACATAAATACAATAGTCATACAGTCATAAACATAAAGTAGTGCGCTGAAAACTAAACCCCTATACATACAGCAATATATCAACAAGAGAAGTATTATATTATTTATATGTTAGAAACAAAACGGAGTATATTATGTAAAAGAAAAACGTTTAATGCCTCTTATGAAAGCTTGGATAAATAACATTGTACTCAGAAGGTATCGTACACGACTCCCTGAGTACAAGATGGAGCCTGGCACTTTCAGAAAGGGCATTTAAATCAATCAAAGGACCGAGAAAGTTTGTTAAGGAAATCAGCTCTTAACTGAGTAAACAAACGGCAGTATAATATAAAATGAGAAATAGATTTGCAGGGGTACCCACAAATACATGAAGGGCTACAATGGATTGAGGACAGGGTCCATTCAGCTGTGTGAATGGTGTGTTCAGCACCAAGGACAGGGTCCTTCGGATGTGTGAATGGTGTGTTCAGCACCAAGGACAGGGTCCTTTGGATGTGTGAATGGTGTGTTCAGCACCAAGGACAGGGTCCTTTGGATGTGTAAATGGTGTGTTCAGCACCAAGGACAGGGTCCTTTGGATGTGTGAATGGTGTGTTCAGCACCAAGGACAGGGCCCTTTGGATGTGTGAATGGTGTGTTAATGATTACGGTGGTTGTGCACACTTCTCTAGATGTTTAGTTGTAGAAGACTATACAAAAGTCCCTAAGTCCCTGTACTTTTTGTTGTGTCAATAAAGAATCTCTAACTTCTCTGATGGACTGGAAAGGTGGTTGTCAGAGAAGTGCGATTAGAAAACTTGGTGAAAATTAGAAGAGTGCAAATTGGCGCAAAGAAAAAGCAGAAACGCCTGCAAAGGAGGCTACACTGTACTGTATTTGTACATAAGGATTAGCCATAAACTGCCATTGCGTGTGACGGGTAATGTTAAAGGTCAGCCTTCCTACCAATTTAATTTCCCGGTTAACAGTTCCTTTTTTTTCTGATTTGCAAATGAAAATAAAAATTCAGAATGAATGGCAAAATGCTCATATTTTGCCCTGAACAGTTGAAAACAGTCCTTTTCTTACTACTTGTTACAGTCACTCCATATTTCAATGCAGTGGTCGCATTAAAAGTTCAAAATTCATTGTTAAAATTTTGAACCAGCCTGGTGTGTTGACTTCATGGTTCCTATCGTACCATTTTGGGCCATAATAGGAAGCCTAGGCCTGTCTTTAATTTTTTCTTTTCGCCCGCCTGCTCCATTATTTTTCTAGAAAAATCCGTTAACCAAGAAATTAAAATGGTGTGGCCTGAGTACAATCTTCCTCAGTTCAGCGGACAAGCCGGCTGGTTTACGATCATTTCTCACAATCTGAACTTTAAAAATTGCATTTTGACATGCAGGGGCCATAAAGCCTGAGTCAGCCTGGCTGTGGTGGAACATATGCAGGCAGATCTGTAACATAATGACCTTTCAGTTAAAGAATGCAGCATTGAATAACCATTAATCTCTTCATGAAGATTTAGAAAACTTTGGCCGTGTTTATGGGAAGTCACCCAAACCGCGATTCGGGTAACTCGCATTCCTCACATCTGGTCCATGTGCCATACATTCCTTTTAAAACGGGCCCTGGCCGATCACGATTCTCAGAAACTACATTCATTGTTGTTTGATAAAAAGGTAGCGTGTTATCAATGTGAGAGGTCAACGACCTGCTTGCTGATGCCCTACTCCCAGCGTACCTCGGCCGAATGCCGACGTGGTCCCGCCAGAGGCGGTGAAGCGCGACCTAAAATGGACACATTATTTGACCATTACTACTCTTTAAGTTGCTGCCAAGTAAAACGTACCTGAGCCTAAGTGGGCAATGTTAGTTTTGGTAATACAACTGTTGCTTGTACAATCTACATTGTACATTACTCGATCCAAAAACTTATTAATTCAGTCTTTGAATGTCATAAATGCCACATTATTGTTGATCACAGAAAGGTGACCTGTGGTGCAGTCAATTGGTATTAAAGCTCATCTCCAAAATGCAGGGTTTTGTCTTCTAACCACTGAATTCTCATTTTTAAAGGTTGGAGTCATGAGGTGCATACTGGAGCCTTACATAGCATTGGGCTATAAATCCCACAGGTATAGATGGGTGAACTTGGACTCAAGTCAAAGCTACATGTATATAACATGAAGACAGACACTGTATGTTCTTCAAGACCTAACCATGCGTGAATACCATCTTACCGTCCTGCATACATTAGATTATTGAAGTTTGTCAAGGACATTGTGACTTCCTTGTTCTTTGTTTCGTGCGTTGGTAGAATGTTTGAAAATGTTACGACATTTTTCAAAACTTTTTTTTGTGTGTTCGAGTGCTCAAACCTGGAAATAGATGGTCTAGCCAGCATCTGTCTTTCTGTCATTTGAGAGAATTTTGCTGTTCATGACAGAAAGAAAATCACAATCTGTCATATCAGACAATAATCAGCAGTAAACTTAGCTTCGTCTATCTGCAAATTTTCGCCGCAAAATGCAGAAAAAAAAATTTCAAGGGTTCAAGATTAGTTCAAATTTTTCCTGGATCCCCTAGAATTGTCATAACTTAACATGGTTTCATGTCAAACAAATTTGACTTGAGGAAAAAAAATTCAGTCTGGCTAAAACACTGATCAGATCCAGAAACTGTGGCATGTAAAATGGATAAAACATTATGCTGCTTTGAGCACTATCGCAACAGTCCATGCATCTGGGAAGTTATAGGTTAGAGTTATGCCCTGCATACCAACTTTGAAGGTGTTATATAATATAAAGCAAGGAATATGTCGGTGAAAATTAGACATTCAGGTAATAGGATGATACACCAAAAACAGTTACTCAAGCAACTTGATAATTATGATTTTTTTAAATGGTTGGACGTTTCAGGTAGCATTCACTACGTTACCTTTCATCAGTGACACTAGAGAGTTGTCAGAAAAGCAGGTTTTTTAGTACGGACTACGCAAGGAATCCCAAAAGTATTAGATTGGTGAAGTTGGACTGTCTGCAACATGCACATGTACTGTAAGATTGAGATTGATGCTCCACTTACTGCAATTCTTGCTCACACGTGTGACGACCATACTTCAATCCCGACCACACACGCGATATCTCCCACACCGTAACCTTACCGCTAATACAGCCGGTCATCAGAGCATTAAATTTGTATTGGTTACAGAATTACTCAGTGAGTCTTTGCTCCACGTGATATGAGATGGAGATTTATGCCGTACTTACGTCGGTACCTGCTCACGCGTGGCTGTCGTAGATGTATTTTAATCCTGCAGATGAGGTATTTTTGAAAGCAATTTTACCTTTAGATGGGGGCACCCAGGCATCAAATTTGTATCGGTTATGGGATAACCTGAGGTGAAGGTTTGATACATGCAGTTTTGTTAAGCTGGGAAAACTTTATCACCCTAGTCCTGCGGTGCGCAACAATATTGTT